GATGAGACTGCGGACCATGATGATGTGGGCTCCCCCCTGAGTCTCTGACTCCCCCCTCAGGAGCCAATCGTCTAGGTAGGGGAACAATTGGACATCCCTTTTTCTGAGCTCAGCACCCACCACTGCCATGCATTTGGTGAAGACCTGAGGGGCTGCAGAAATACCAAAGGGGAGGGCCGTGAATTGGTAATGGTCCAAGCCCACGGTAAACTGTAGAAACCTCCAATGGCGGGAGGTAATTGAAATGTGAAAGTATCTTTTAAGTCGAGGGCAGCATACCCGTCTCCGGGGACTAAGGAAGGGATAATGGACGCCAGAGTCACCATTTTGAATTTTGTCTTGACAATGGAGTTTAGAGCTCTGAGGTCCAGAATGGGATGAAGGCCCCCGTTCGCCTTTCGAACCAGAAAGTAACGGGAATAGAATCCCCTATTCCGAAGCTCGGAGGGAACGCATTCTACTACCCCTAGCATGAGGCTATGATTTATTTCCTCCTGTAGTATAGGCTCGTGAGAGGGGTCCCTGAAAAGGGATGGGGTAGGGGATTGGGAAGGAGAGTGCGAGTGGAAAGGATTACATAATCCCTTTTCACTATCTCCAGCACCCATTGGTCCGATGTAACAGACTGCCAGGCCTGGAGGAAATGGGATAAACGGTCCCGGAAAGATAGAGAGGAGACTGGTAAGATGCCCTCAAGGGTCCCATCAAAACCTCTGATGGAGCCCTGGGGGCTTGTTAGGGGGCCCCTGGCTATTATTGGGGGTTGGGCATGGCTGGCGCCTGTCATTCCTACTGTTGCCACTCCTGCTCCTACGGTGGGAGAAGTCAGAGCGTGGGCCCTGGTGAAGCACTCTGGGAACATTCCTATTTGAGTAGGTACGTCTCTGGGTAGCAGGAGTGTGCAGGTCCAAGAACTTTAATGTCGCCCTGGTATTCTTGAGACCATGAAGCCTCTGGTCCGTCTGCTCTGAGAAGAGCGAGGGGCCCTCGAACGGGAGGTCCTGAATGATGTTTTGGAGCTCCAGCGGCACCCCAGAATCCTGGAGCCATGAGCTACGGTGCAGAACCACACTGATGGCCATCACTCGAAGGGCACTTGAACGGGAGTTCCTGAATGGTGTTTTGGAGCTCCAGCGGCACCCCAGAACCCTGGAGCCATGAGCTACGGCACAGAACCACCCTAGTGACCATCACTCGAGCAGTGGTGTCCACCATGTCGAGAACCACTTGGAGAGCCGCTCTGGAGATTGCTCTCTCCTCATCGCGAAGAGCTTTGTTCTCAGAGTGGGAGTCCCTGGGAAGCAAGTCCGTAAACTTGTCCATGGACACCCAGGTGTTGTATGTGTAATAGGACAATTGGACTTGCTGGTTGGCAATGCAATATTGGATGCCCCTAACACATAGACCTTCCATCCCAGCAGGTCAGACTCTTTGGCCTCCCTATTCTTAGGGGTGACAGCAAGCTGCCCTTGTCTCTCTCTTTTGATTAACGACTTGCACCACCAATGAGCCCGGGGGAGGGTGAAAGAAGAGATGTTCATTACCCTCTTGAGGGACAAAGTACCTCCTTTCCGCAGGCTTATCCATCGGAGGAATAGAGGCGGGGGTTTGCCACAAGGCTTTGGAAATTTTGGCCACTGTTTTGTGGACTGGTAAAGCCACTCTATAAGGGGTGTCAGCATGCAGAATGTCAACAGTAGGATCCGAGTTGTCAGAAACCTTCTCCGTTTGAACCCCCAAACTTTGGGCCAGGCAGCGAAGAAGGTTCTGAGGGGTTCTAGCATCCATGGAGGGCACAGACGAGGTGGAGCTGGCTAACGCTTCATCCGGGGAGGAGGATGATGACCCCTTTTGGACCTCACCCACAGGACATCCTTGCGATCTGGATCGTCCAAGGTGTCTACGGGTGAAGTGCGGTGCCAGCACAGATTCCAAAGGAGTTGCAGTGCGCCGAGACATGGACTCTGGCTTGTCGTGGTGCCGAGGCAGTGGAGGAGGCATGGCCGCATGGGAGGCCTGCACGGAGATAGGTGCCGATGGGCCCTGGGGCAGTGACGGTGCTGGGCGATGTTGCTGCACCAAGTCCAGTGCCATGTCTTTGGCCGGTAGCAGGGTAGCCTGTGCCTCGATGGCCGGTGCCGCATGCAGTGCCGTCGGGGCCGGGCGATGTCTGCCCTCATGCACCATGACTTTGGTCGCCCCGGGGGGCGATCGGTGCCAAGAGTCCTTGTGCCGCCTAGGGGGTGCCAGAGTCGGAGGAGGAGGGAAGAGGAAGGACTCGATTAAAACCCTCACTGCCTCTAAAGCCTCCGGTGTAGATGGCTCAGGGAAGTCCTCCTGAGGGCTGACGTCCCCTCGCTGGGAGACAGGCCCACCCGATCTAGAAGGCTCAGGCTCTGGGTTCGTCGACACCATTGCCAAGAGTCCTTGTGCCGCCTAGGGGGTGCCAGAGTCGGAGGAGGAGGGAAGAGGAAGGACTCGATTAAAACCCTCACTGCCTCTAAAGCCTCCGGTGTAGATGGCTCAGGGAAGTCCTCCTGAGGGCTGACGTCCCCTCGCTGGGAGACAGGCCCACCCGATCTAGAAGGCTCAGGCTCTGGGTTCGTCGACACCATATGCTCCACTGAAGGGTGCATGGAGGATACATGCCTAGGTGGGGATCAATCCCTGTTAGGCCGCCGCCTCTTCTGAGGCACCGACGATTGAGAACGGTGCCGGGGCCCCTGTGGTGCCAGAGAGGCACGGTGTGCGGAATTGTCGCACACCGGGGCCAGTGCACTCCAAGAGGTCGGTGCTGAGTCCAGTGCTGGTTGGAGCGCTACTTCCATGAGGAGGATCTTAAGGTGTGACTCCCTCTCGTGTTTTGTCCAGGGCTTGAAGGCCTTACAGATTTTACACACCTCTGTAAGGTATGCTTCTTCCAGGCACTTTAAGCATGACAAGTGTAGGTCACCCCACGGCACAGGCCTATTACACTTTTTACAGGGCTTAAAGCCTTGCGGGCTGGGCATGCCCTGCCACGGGCGCATGGCATGCCGCGACGGGGAACAATCAACAGAAAATAACAAAAGAGTCTTTAACTTAAATTGCAGACACTTAGCTGAAGATCAACTAGAGATTGAAGAAAAACAATGAAGACAATGATCACGTTGAGGAGCTGAGGGTTGTTCCAACGGCCATCATGGTGGTAAGAAGGAACTGAGTGGGTGAGGGAGCCAGCAGGGGTATAAATGGGCCAATATACCGGCACCACCCCAGGGGGCTCCTCTGCTGGGCCTAACGGTACGGGAAAAACTTCCGATGATGCGTGCATGCTGCACACACACACCTATATTGGAATGCACATGAGCAATCACTCAAAAAAGAATGAGAACCTACTAATCCTCCAAGTGTAATCAACATAATTGATGCATAATCAACACATCAGACAACACTGGTTACTAGAGAAAAGTGTATATCCTACAGAACTGAATTTCTTTTCAGATTCCACTGTCATTTGGATAAATGAAAAAGTACATGTACTATACTAGGATCATCTTGACACCTTTGACACATTCTCGAAAACTGGACCTCAGCTAATAGATGCACTTATGTTGGCAGACCAGGTGCCAGTTTATGCCAACATCCCACCAGCCCTCACTGAATGCTTACAAATTAAGAGCTGAAAGACAGGCCAATTCATTTGTGTAGCCAATTCACAGATCAAAAAGACTGCTAAATGTGTGAGAGTGAATTAGATGTTTAAACATAAAAAAAATAGGATGTTACATGTGCTGTTTCAACTTACCTGTATCCCATTGTAATAGCAAAGATTTACATTGTCTATACTGAGATAACTAAATAAGCCACCGACCTCAGAAAGAATCATTATGGAATGCAAATGAAGAACTTTAGCAGAAAAGTGCTCTTTTCAGAGCACTTCCTATAAGAAGAAGCTAGAAATAAGGATTCACATCACATCATCAGAGGCATGTAGATTAGGCTACCCGGCATAGGGAAATGAAGTCGCGATTTAAAAAATCGCGGCTTCATTTAAATTAAAATGGCTACTGCGCTCTGCTGACCAGCTGATC